GTTGCTAGAATTATTTACGTCAAATGTTGGAAGCAAGCAAAAATAGAAGAGGAGTGGAACATTAAGATCCAAGAAGCTATGGAATTAGATATATTAATAGCCTTGATGAATGAAAAAGTAGGAGAGGATATAGAGGAGGAATGGAGATGTCTAAAAAACTATTGGGAAATGAAAATATATTAAATATATAGAAAGTTTGATTGAATTAAATTATTTAAGTATTCTTTAGCTAGTTTGTTGGAAATCTATATTTGGATTTTAGAGAATATTTGGGACAATATCTATGGAGAGTATGATGTACTTAGAGGGACTTAATGAATTTTAGACAGAGAAGGTGAATAATTATATGTTGGGAAGTTGATTTGATAATTATATGAAAAGGAGACTATAAACACAAGTGTTTGTATGTATGTACGTTTATGTATATATTTGTATTTATGTTGTATGTTTGTATGTTTTTGTTTAAAAAAAGAAAAAAAATTCTTGTGGTTTTTATATCAGTCCTTTTTTAAAAAAAAAATCTCTGTCTTCAATTTTTTTCTCTTGGCAATCCCTGCAATTCCGCTTGTTCCTTCTACCATAAATTATGTATACACTTTGATTCTTGTGCAATAAAATTCCCCGTTGGGTAGGTCTGTGTGGATGTGGGTTACAGATTCCAGTCCTTTTGAGATCCAGTATTGCCTGTGTGCCAGACAAGAGAGTGTTCTAGAGTACCAGCAAGCAGACTGGTACAGCTGTTCCAGAAGTTCCAGCTTATGAACTCTAGAATGGGATCTAAGCTGGGTCAAAGCAGAAAACTAATATCTGACTTAATTGCACCTTTGAGAGTTGCAGAAAAGACTTCCACCAAGAGATGCAAAAGTGCACAAAAATCTTTTGATTAAGAATTATCAAACAACCTGAAAGACTGTGGGGACACATCATCAGGAGAATTGAAGGCCACTTAATATGTTATCTCTGTTGCTTCTACAGAAAACATCAGCTTCCACCCACTAGTCATGATACATGGCTGGGTGTTGTTATTTTGTGGTCACTTTATAGAATATGGTGGGAAGGTAGTTAGTGAATTAGATTCAAAGGTAAATACAAATTCCAAAGGTGGTGTGGTGGTGGTATTATTTGACATCTAAATATTGTATGTTCCTCAATGAAGCTTTTCAGGGAATATGGTTTCACTTTTCCAGTATAGATAACAATATATTCCTGTTAGTTATGCAAAGGATATGCTGGATGTTATATATTGCAAGTAGGTTCAGGAAGATTGGTTCAGCAGAGGCATGTTGATTGCCTGTGGTAGGAATATGAAGGAAATCAAAGGGAAGGAGGATTGGTGGGCCTGCTGAGAAGCCCCTATGGTGACTGGCTGTTCTTGAAACTCCAGGATCCATGGTTTGATTGCAATTGCCTGTTCTTATCCAACTCTGGCAGTCAAAAACCTGTTTGAAAGTTTTCCTCCTGCACTTCTCCCCACCCTCTGATCTTCATATCTCTCTACTTGTTCTGTGTATTTAAATATCTGGATTCCATTCAGATGCTGTTTTCTGTGAGTGCTGTTTGGCAGCCATTTTATCTAAGATTAGTTTTCCTTCATCCCTTGTTTCAGTCCCTTGTTTCATATTCAAATCCCCTGAGCCCAGTTGTGCTGGTTTCTCTTTGTATTCTTAGTGTAGTATTATCCTCAGATTAAGTTATTGTATTTATGTGTGGCATATCCCTAACTGAACCCAACTCCTGCTAGAGACTTTGCTTTTTTTAGCCAGTCTTTCATTTCTTCATCCCCAGAAGTAGAAGGGAACTGCTTCCCTCACCTGATCAGTCTGCTCTCATTTCTGTTTGATGATGCTCAGACTGTTTCTTCCTCTCAAAATTGTGTTTTAAAATACTACATTTCATTCTTCCTGGAGAAGGGACTTTTACATGCTAAAGTGTGGTATGAGAATCAGTTCTGGTTCATGCGTTACCTCTTTTCATGAGCTTCTGACAGAAATATTTCCTGTGCCTTCAAAGCACTGAATGTGTCCTCCTCTTTCTTATTGCAGAATGTGTATTACACAGGCAGCCAGCAGATACATGTGGGTATCCTAAGCCCTACCATTGATGATGATGACAACAGATGTCTGGTGGATGTGAATAGCCGACCCAGGCTAATTGAATGCAGTTATGCCAAAGCCAAAAGGATGAAGCTTTACTGGCAATTTACTCAGGTAATTTCCACCTCCTCCACCACCACAACCCCCTGCCAAAAATGAAATGAATAGTTTCAAGCAATATTCCATCCCTCACTGCCACTGAAATATGAATGATCTAAACATGTGATTCTTTGCAAAGCATCAGAAAAGCTTGGCTTCCCTGTTGGCAAACCTATGGCACATGTGCCAGAGATGGCACATGAAGCCATTTTCCCTGGCACACAGAGTGGGAAAGAGGAGGAAAGGGTGTGCACCTGTTCTTTTTCCTCCTGGCTGTCCTCTGAAGCTAAAGGCCCAGGAAAGTGTGAGGGGAAGAAGTACCACCCCAGGATTCCTGCCCCTATACAGTGGAAGTACCGCCCTGGAAGTCCCATTCCCCCTGGAAGTCCTACCTCCAGCACAGGGTAACACCAGGTGCCAGAAGGCTGTTGAGTTTGGGCAGTCGGTGCCTAAACGGTTCACCATCACTGGTCTAGTTCACCTGGAGGGGAGAAATCTCTAGGGGGATTCAGTCACTCACATAATGAAGTGGGAGAGTGAGACAACACTTACTGGCTTTGCTCACTCTTTCAGAGCTGCCTGGTCCTGCCATGTGTTAGAGGGAGTAGTCCTGAAGCCTCCTCTGTGTCTGTGTAGGTTCCTCATGTGATTCAGAATCTTTTACAAATGGGTTCTAATTCAAATTGGGAACCTAAAGCAGGCTCAATGCTACAGACCTTCACTGTGCCTAAGCATTTGAGTTGGCAATGGGGACTCTGGAGAAAGGGTGGGACTAGCAAGGAGGGCCATGCTCAACCCTTTGCTAATGTGATTGGAGAGTTGTCATGTGGGAACAATATTTCATCATGTCGGAACATTCTTCTTTGCTGCTTACTGATAACCTCTCAGAAGCAAATAAGGAAGAGCTCCTGAATGGAGCTTAGATGAGGTGATAGTACTTTGTCTCTCAGCTGTAAAACTTCAAGTTACAGGTGAGTCGTAACCTGCAAAGAGGGATGTGCCCACATGATACAAGATTTCTGTCCATCAAGGTTAGGCATCTGGCCGCTCCAGGGATAGGAATGGGTCAGATATTTTTCAGTCTGTACATGATATATTCCTTTTGAATTCTTAACATCCCTGAGAGTACTGATGCAGGCTTTCAAATAAAATTTAAAAATCCTTTCTGAAAGCCTTCCATTCTCCTAACATCCACATAGAGAAAGCCCTGAAGAAGAGAAGATGATGTTTCTTCCTCTGTCTCCTGATGATAAATTAAGAGGCAAGGGAATAATTAAAGCCATGCTGTTCAGAAAGTATTGTTTTGTTAATACCCAGTGTGATTAAAGTGTTGTTGTTTCAGAACACATAATGTGATGAAAAGTAGGTTTGCAAGCTACAAGCTGCAAGAAAACTAATGAGACTAATCAAGGATTCACAGAACTGTGTACATTGCATTGTGTTGGCTATCTTTTAAACTAGTAAAAGGAGTACATCTCCCGGGAGAAAAAGGTTAGAAAGCTATTTGTAAGAACTGGCAATTGATCATATTTGTCTTTTATCACATTCTGGAAATGTGTTCTTATTTTGTGATTGGTGATATCTTACTTAAGTCATCACATTTACTTGAATGCACCACTTAAGTAAATAAAAGGCCAATATCCCCACCCTGAAATTATTTGAGAGTAATTAGAACAGTGTAAGCAAGATTACAGTGGAGTAAACAATGTAAGAGCTTGAATGTTGTATGAAAAAGATGTTTTACCAAAGGCAGTCTTAATGTTATTAAGACCGTATCTCCCATTATGAACCTGCCAGAGTCCTAAGATGTACCAGAGAAGGCTTTCTCTCAGTCCCACCACCATCCCAGACTCACTTGGTGAGGATATAAGAGAGAGACTTCTCAGTGGCTGCTCCTGTCTTCTGGAATTCCCTTCCCTGGGAGGCTAGCCTGCCCCCCTCCCTGCTTTACTTTCATCAGCAGCAAAGGCTTTTTTTGTTTAAGCAGGCTTTTAAGGAGTAAGCAGGGCTGCTTCGGTCTGAAATATGTGTTTTATTTATCAACATTTGTATCATTTTAAATGGTTTTAGATTGTTAATGTGTGGATTTTTAACTGGGTTTTTTTTTAAAAAAATAATAATAGTTTTTCCTTTTTTAAAACTGATTTTCATTGGGGTCTGCCTTGGGTCCTATTTTGGAAGAAAGGTGGCTAAGTAAATAAATTAATTAATAATACAGCCATTTTCCCCTTAAACTTTCTGATTTTAGAGTAGGAATGGGAAATGCACAATCCGCAGACCCACAAGGCCTTTTCCACACACACACACACACCCCAAAGCAGGGATTTCACATTGAACAGAAGAACATAGCAACAGCTATGTAACCCAACTGTGGTCAAAGTGTGGTCTGTTGGCCACATGTAACCCTTGGGACCCCAAGGGGAGGTCCCTGAACCTCCCCCCCTCCACAAGCTCTAAAGCCTCCAAACTCCCAAAATGTTTTTTTTGTTAATTTTGTCACAAATTTCCTGTGATTTTTTCACATGAAAACCAGCCAGAAAAACCCAATGCTGGCTGTAAATGTTGTGGATTACCTTCCCAGCTCCCACAAAGCCCCACTCCTCTTAATATTGTCCAGTAGTGACATTGCATCACTTTCACTGTGCAGTGCAGCTTGCAAACAGGACGCATGAGGAAATGATTGAATTGCTCCATTGGAACTCTGTTCTCATCACTGAATATAAAAGATGCAAAGTTCAGGAAACATTGTCTTCACTCTCAATAGGCAAATGCTTCACCTTTTTTTCAACACACTATCCAAAGAAAGAGAGGCATGTGACATAGTGGTTTGGGTATTGGACAACATCTCTAGAGACCAGGGTTCGATTCCCAGCTTGGCTATGAAATCCATGGGCAAGTCACACTCTCTCAGCTTTGGTGGAAGGCAATGGCAAACCTCCTCTGAACAAATTTTGCCAAGAAAACACTATGATAGCTTTGCCTTATAGTCGCCATAAATTGGAAATGACTTGAAGGCACACAACAACAACAATCCAATGAGATATGTTTTTCAACACTCTATGAAACATTTGCTTTAACTTCTATCTTTCAGTTAGGGGGGTTGCAGACTGCCAGAAATAGTGCAAATTGAGTCCACTTATAGGGTTAGGATTAGGGAATCATGGGGATTGTAGTTTATTGTGGCACCAGAGCTCTCTGACAGAGAAGGCTTAATGTCCCAGGTGGGAAAAAAACAATTCCCATGATTCCCTAGCAGTAAGACTCAATTTGCACTATTTCTGGCAGTCTGCAACCCCCCTTAGTCTCAAAGGTGCTACAAGATCTGTCTATATCTTTGAGTTCTACACATATAAACAGTAATCATGCATTTTAACAGTAGAAAAGATTGCTACAAGATTAGACTGGGATAGGGTTAATTCAAAAGGATTAGATGTAGATGTGATGGCTCCATTTCTATATTTATAAAAAGACATGATGCTCAAGGATTATTAAACTGTGCTTCCTTTCTATAAAGAAACCAGCAAGCAAATGCCCTAAAAATGATTGTCACCAAGGTGGAAATTTCACAGCACTCCTCATTCATTTCCCTATGTTGCTAATGCTGCTTGGAAGTTATCAAAGGGTTCCCCTGAGCATAATTGTTTCCTGTTGGGATGCACCATGCAGAAAGGTCTAAATGTTAACTAAACTCAGCAAATCACAAAAGCAGAATTTAATACTGTGGCAACATGTTACAGCTGTTAGGTAACCAGGCAAATCCTACGCCTGTCATAAATAATGTAAAATCTTTTTTTTTCACCATCTTTCTCTGTGCTCCATAATTTTTCCCCAGGAATGGTCTGTCAGGTTGAAATACTGTGCATCATTCCCTTATTTTAACAGCACAACACAAATGGGAAATTGGAGTAGAAACTGGGAGGTAAAATAGTACAAGAGAAGCTGGGAGGCATGATAAAAGGGAAAGGAATGAGGTTAATGTTCAATATTTTTTAATATGTTTCTTTTCGTCCTGTGTGTTGAGGATTTGAGTTTCAGATTGGGAGGGATGGATGAAGGACATTATCAAAATTGCTAAAATGAAAATTAGAAGCAAGACTTGTATAACTTCCTCTTACCAGTTAATTTCTCAGTTTCAGCAGAGATCACGATAATCATTGTTCTTCAAACACATTAAAAAAAAACACATGTTGTTGGAGACCATGGAAGAAAAGCAGAATCGTACCCATTTCCTCCATGAGTTTATTGGTCTACTATACACATCAAAGTCTCAGATCATTGTTGGGATTCCTTACAGGAATGACACATCGAGACAGGAATTGGGGGTGCAATGCTTGCTTGCTTGTTTGCTTGAGGAATCAGTGCTTTCCTCAGCCTTTTTATTAGAAACTTGTTTACAGCATTGGTCAATGCTGTCCATTACTCATTAACTGACAGAAGATGCTATTTCCCTGTGTCAGGACTCATAGGTCAGAGAATGTAAACAGGACAGGAAACCAGCCAAGTTAATCAGTAGGAGTGTTTACGTGTGTAAACACCAGCCAGGCTTAGTTATTAAATGCATAGAGGAAAATATGAGTCCTTTTTTGTGGTGTGCCAGCAAAATTCCTCCACATCTCCCTCTTTTTTGTTTTTTAATAAGCTGGTACATGTATCCTGCAAACTTTCTCTTTCCCATGGGAGTCAACACTTTCTAAGAAAACAGGTTACACAAACTGGGAATACATTGAGTAAAGCAACATAGAGAAACAAGCAGGAAAAGATAAAAATGCAATTTGAGTAGTAAATGAGAATACAGCTGACAAACATCAATTTCAAGGAACTATAAATGCAGGCATATTATAGCAGTGTCCATATCAATGCAAATGGCAGTGTTCAAACAGCATCAAGAGCTAGATGTGGCAATGAGTCCCAAACAAGTGTTGGTTGGTCTGTGGGATGTCAGAGTCCATGGTGAGTCCATGAGGTTTAATGAGTGACTGGAAATGTAAGCATAGTGTGCTGCTTAGTTGACTTAGCACTGTCTGTGGGGACTTGCAGGGAGCAATTCCTTGCATGGGAACCTAGGTGGTTGAGGAGCCTGTGAAGTTGCGAGGATGGTGCTAATCCAGGGCAGGGGAGCGCTGGGATTCAGGGCCTCTGTGCTGGCACTGGAACACTGGTGTTTGCTATGACCCTTTGGGATGACACTCTGGCTGTTGTGCAGGATTGGCACCTCTGCCTTGGGGTCGTCTGGGCATCTTAGGCTCAGGTCTCCATCACTGGTCTGGTCCAGATTTGTTGATTCAAGAAAGGGGCTCACCTTCCCCATTTTGAACAGTGCATGCAGAAGGAAAAAGCAGAGCAAGGAAGAAACTGAAGGTAATGAGGAATAGCACATGCATGAGAATGGTGGAGGAGGGGGTAAGAGAAGCATGAAAAGGCTTGCAATCAATGCTAAAGTGAAAGAAAATTATTGATTAGTAGCTGTGATTAGTAGCTGTATTGAGAAATAAATTTGAATGGTTAGTCATGAACACTAGTGGCAGCCAGGCACTGCTCTACTTCTGGCAAATTCTGGCAAATGGGGGACAATTCCCTCTTTTTTGTTGTTTTTTGTTTTTTGTTTTGCAAGATGTGTAATTCTGCAAGCGCAGGCGAACAAAAGACAGGGCCATTGTCCGTTTTTAAAGAAAGGGTTGTAAAGGGCAAAGTTGCAACATAAAAATACTTGAAGCAACAACAACAACAACACAAAAACAACAATGTCCTCCTTCCTTTTAAAAGCTGAGAAGGAGGGGGGGATGTAAGATAGGAATCTGGAAAGGAACAAAGCTGAATCTGATCTTGGGCTGAGAGTGTGTGACTAGTCATACTGTCTGGTAACAAAAGCAAATAGACATTTGAGGCAGAGTTAAAACAGACAAACAAGAGAACAGATTTGATCCTACTTCCTCTGAACATATACAGAGAGCCAAACGAATTGTAAAGCAAGGGAAAGAACAAACAAGTCTTGGAAGAGAAAGGAGGAGCCCTCCTGACCATGTCTATAGTTTTGGCACTGTGTCTTTCAGCTTTAGAGCAGACACTCTTGAGAAAGAACTAGGGTCACTCAGCAATGCAAAGCCTGTTTTACATTGAGGATTTGGAGAGCTTGTAACATAGATAGTCTCTAGGCATGTGAAGAGTGCAGGAAGCAGAAACAAAGCAACTGCAGCTTAGAAAATACAGGGGGTGCTGTGAGATGGTATCACTCACAGCAAGTGAGAAGGTAGTAAGGGAAGCATTAAAAATAGATGGACTGTGCTACTAATTTTGAGGGCCTCCTTCTAGGAAACAAGGCAGCAGTGAAGACAGCATAAACATATATAAAAACAAGTCACAGACCCAAGACACATTAACAGACAAACTAACAAACAATCTTTGGGTGTTTCCAAATCACTTAAGCAAACACACAAACAATTGGCTGGGGCTGATTTCCTTTCTTATTGGTAACTTTCCAAATAAGACAAGGACAGCCTGCAGGATGATGGGATTTGCAACCTTCTCTGGCAATGATGCCTGGTGTCTTAGAGGGCAGTTTCTAGGAGTGCCTTTCGAGGGCTCTCATCTCTGGTGAGCATTGGAGAAGCTGGGGTTGAGGCAGTGTGCCTCACATCCATGGTGGGGGAAAAGGAAGCTGAGACAATGTGACCCATCTCCACTACCTTTTCTAGGGAGCAGGGGCTTGGCCTTTTACATCTCCCTGTTCCATTCCAATGCTTTCCACGTCGAGTGCCTATTTCTACACTCCTGGTCCTCCTTTGCCATGTGATCTGGGGTTGTGATAGATGACCTTGAGGGGTCCCTTTTTCTGGCATGGCTGGCTGAAAGGGCTTCTGAGACTTAGGGTCTTTCGGTTAATCCCATGCCCTGTTTTGGCCAATAACAAAAGAAAGGGGAGGGGGATTTTCCTTCTGTTTACCTGGTTCTTTAAGCTGAGGTTTGACTTCTCTGTGGGGAGGGCAA